TGTTATACCAGGAGGTCAATGTTTGTAGTATCAGGGCTTCAGTTTGTAAAACATTAAATAAATGTACTGTGCTATCTAAATATTTTTCAGTAGTTGTTATTCCCAGCTGACTCATGCTGCTCTTCAAGCGTCCTGTAAACAGCTCTGAATGGAGCGACGGTTGGTCAACGATGAGCTTGAGGCATCTTGCCGTAGAGGTTACGAAGCTTCCCCTACCAGCTGTCTGTCCTGAGGGCTTTCCCCCAAAGCCGTTGCTGCTGAGTGGCAGAGGGAAATTAAGCTCAGTGACTTCTCTTCATGTCCTGGTGAAAGCTGGGGCACATTTCTCCTTCCTCAGGTCTTCACTAGGACGGTAGATGTGGAGAAAGTGAAGGTGTCAAAACACGAGGTGGTGGCAATGTTGTAAGTGCCACAGCTTTTTCCCCAGTGAATGTGAGATGGAGCTCTGTAACCCGCTATTTCCCTTTACAGAATGGAAAAGTATGTTATGAGAGTCCGTGTACAGCTCAAGCAGAGCTGTACCATAAGGAGATCTAGAGGATAAATTTTGGAGAATAGAGGACCAGCTTAAAAATTTTTTCAAGGAGCTTTCTTTTCCTGGCAGTGGGCAGCACATAAAAAAAAGCTAAGTGGAAAGAGCAGGTTTTAGTATGAGCTTTTGGTCAGGAATGGTAGCCAGGATTTCTAAGTGTAGGTAAGTAGCTGATATCCAGGAGACACTTAAGTTTCCCAACTGATTACTGAAATTATTCATATTGTGTAGTTGTTTTAACTCAGGCCTCTGCACAGTAGGGTCCCCCCGCTTTTCGCATGCTCAAAGAAAAATATATTGCAGCCTGTCATAACTTCAAATAATGTCATCTGTAATTCAGAGATGCAATCACAAAATAATACAACCTAGCCCCTTGATGAAGTGTGGTCCATACAGTCACTTTTGGTGATTCAGGTAGAACAGTTCTTCAGTTGTCCCTGTCTTATTTTATTATGCAAATGTATTTATACTTTTAAAGTGGGGAACATTTTTGTTTCAGCTCTTGTTGCTAAAATAAATTAAACACGAATAGATAATCTTAAAAATACTTTTATATTTGGAGAAAGAATAGCAGTACCATTATGTGGGCACTGCATCATGGAACAGCTACTTAATTTCAGGAAGCATTCTAATGAATATGAACACTTTGGAAATTAGTTGCCCATTTCATTAATTGTTTATTTGCGAATGAAAAGAGCTAGTCAAGCAAAGATACTGTTTGGTTTCTGGAAATTGCTCCACCAAACTATCTCCAGATGTTGGGGGAGGTGGGGAAGGAAGAAACTTCATCCACATTTTAATACGTGAAACTTTTGTAACACGCTCACGATTCATGATCTGTGTTTGGATGCCATTTTTGCTTTGTCTCCTGTGTGCTAGGTCTTCCCTTTTCCCAGTTTTTATCCAACAAAGCAAAATTTGTAGCAAAGAGTCTACAGCAGTATCTTCTGCTGAAGTGTGAAATGTCCAGCTGAAGAAAAGAAACTGGTTGTTGTATTTTCAGTTTAAATAATACGAAGTTTGCATTTTTCTTTTTTTCAGAAATAGTTGGAAAACCATTTACATGTTATAAATTATTATGTTCTAGGATAGACGATAAATGTTTTACAAGAAAGGACAGACATTAAGGTTATGAAAAATAATGAATTTCAGTAAAATTCTAAGTAGTAAATGTGTTTCCGGAGCGCTAGCTTCTTTAAGATGCTCTCTTTCTAACTTGTTATATAAATGACTGCATTCTTACAAATAGTGGGTTTCTTTCTGAATCTGCATAGACTATCAAACAAGTCTGTGTTTCGTTTTCAATATTTTTGCTCTTTTTTTCTATCCCTTTTTAAATTTGAAGTTTTCTGGACTGTGTGCTTAGATTTTTGCCATTATTTTTTGCTCTTTTACCTGAGAAATATCTCAGACTTTATACCCATTACTCTTCCCAAAAGAAGGAATAAAGCCCCTATCCATTCTTGCTAAGAAGTATTAGGGAGACTCATTTCTGAGTGATAACCAGCCAAAAACAACACTGGATTTGTGTTCAGGGTTGAATTGGACATGTCTGTTTAAAAAGGCAACTGTGCTGCAGTTCACTTTACAGTTATTTTCCAGATTATTCAAAATACTTGAGCATTAGAAGAATCTGTCTAGTCCCACAGGAAAAACTGTCCAATAAGCCTCTCCCTTCATCTAAGGGTCATAGAGGAAACCCTGGCTAGACGTTTTGGTGACTAATTTAAAATATCTGGCAAGACAATTGATAGCACCCTTCCTTTGTGTTGTGACAAATATATTTCGACTGCAGTTTATTAACATAATCCAACACAACCACAGACATATTGTATGTATTATAGCATAGAATTAGAAACATTTTTTGCACATCACAGTCTTTACTCTCTCTCTTTTTTGACAAGGATCTGGATAATTGCCTCAACAAATGAACTGCTGTGTTCAGTCTGTTTCTATAATTTCATAAATTGTTTTCCATGCTAAAACTAAGCAAGCTTTTACTGAGTAAGTATAAAGAACCACAGTGTAATTACAGGAGCAGTATTATTAAAAAGTGTGACAGAAATGGCAGTTTAACTGACAGCTACTTTTTCTTTGCTTTATTACACAAATTAAGTATCTCATGGAGTGCTAGTTAGTGAGCAACAGTGTCTTCTGCCTCTCTGTCTCTCTCACTCTCATGCACACATGCATGTGTGCACACAAGTATCTTAGAGCTGAGACTTATCATAGAAGATTACCACATAAGCTGGATTGTAAATTACCTGCTGAGGTTCCTACTGCTTCAGGAAATGGTATTTCAAATTAAAAATAAGGGGTTTTATCTCACACTTAGGTAAGCTGAATATTTAGTTCTTGTGTATTGCCCTTTGCCTGAATGTATTTGTTCCCTTTATTGATGAAGGGAATTAGAATTATTCCCATTGCATGGATGGAAAAACTGAGACACAAGAAGTGATTAATTTTCCCAAGACTCAGAACCCATTGAATGACCAGGCTAAGAATGAAACCTAAATTTGCTGTCTTAATCATTGACCCACACTGCCTGCCATCAATATGGCCTTGATCCAGAGCCCACTGAAATCAATGAAAATAAAGTTTTTGACCAAGTCCTGTATGTAATGTAAAGTCCTTGCTTTAGTTTTTTATTTTCCTCCTAACAACGTGGTTATTAAAGTGCAGCTTTTCCATACACTACTTTTGTAGAGAGTAATTGAAATCAATCAGTGACACTGATACAATTTGGACGAGGAATAGGGGCTGACTTCACCAGTTCCAAGGCTCCTGTCCTTTTCACTTGTTTTCAGTTGGACACCTTGTTATATAAGAAATGTTCACACATTCCATTCATTGTCTTTAAAAACAAGTATGTTTTAAGTATATACTGCTTTTCTTTACGTTTTCCAGGGCTCTGTATTCAAACCTTTGCTTTTCCTAATCCTAAAATCAGCTGAACTGCAAAGGGGTATTCTTCAAATATTCCACAAGTATCAGATTAGAATCAGGTTTAATGCTAAATAGGTGATCATTACTTTAGAGTTACGTGCTCAGTCACTGTCTAGTCAGTCAGGTGTAAATGTTAAACTCCTGGCTAGTATGAACAGGAGCAAGTAAAAGGCTAGCATATATTGTATATCATTGGGTTTGTAAAGTGTGTGCATGCTACAGCGGTGTGGGTTCTGAAGTTAACTTTACTGAAGAAAGAGACAAAAATCTAAAAGCTTTTTTAAAAATACTTGGCTATAAACATGAATTTTAAATTCTTTTTACTGATCTTCTCAAATTTTGAACATAGTTTCAATTGTGAAGACGGTGGCAAATGTCACGATTTCATTATTTCTAACATCCTTTTTTACTGTCTGTGGTTTGACATGTCCATAGGTTTTTATTAGATTAATAAAATTGCTGCAAAAAAGAGTGGGATTGTCATGAAACATAAAAGGCCATTCCATTTATTTTTGGTAGTTGTTAAAAGCATCTGAGAACCAGGAAAAATGAGAACAAGTAACTGCAGTACTTAATGAACTGAATCACGATGATTGTATTTAGTTAATCACTTCACAAAAACTGAGTGTATGAAAATTTGCCATGATTCATGTCCTGGTCAGCTGTGATCTTGAGAGAGCTGTTTGCCGAAAGGCTCGGGATGTGCCTACAGGTCTGTGAAAACCTAAACTGTGTGTGGTATTGATTGGCTCAGTATTGTTGGTGAGTTCTGGCTGCAATACCAAGGAAAGAGTTTAACCAAGTGTTGCTACCAAGGAGCCTCCTGGTGAAATATTTCTTAAACAAACCTTTTGGAAAATAATGTTTAAGACTTACATAAACATCGCCTATAAAAGTCTGTAAATCCCTCTGTTTTATAGTATGCCATTTCAAATCTGATTTTAGCATGTCTGATCCTTCAGTTATATTTACCTTTTTTGCACAGTACTCAGAAATACATCTGAATACTCTCAGATCTTGTTGATGTCTGGCAAAGAACCTGTACAATGTCAGGTACTCAGGTAATTTATTTTACCATTCTTCTTAGATGAAGTTTGGGGGATTGCGAGTTCTTAGACATCCAGCAATTTTTAGTTCCAGGCTTGGCATGAATGGAGAGATTTATTTTTTTCCAGAGTTCTCATAAGATTGAAAATACACAGCAGCATTAGTGAAACCAGGTCTCCTACAGCTTTATTCTTAGCATTGAAAATTGTTACAGATCCCTAATCTTCCCCCAGGCTTCCCCTCCAGCGCACCTTTTGCATTACTCTTGTAATCCAGAGCTACCTTTGCTTAGCTTAATAAGAGGCGATGGTGTGACTAGGCAGGAGCTGCTGATTGACCAGCTGGCTGCTACCGCTTCGCTGTTAAGTAAGTGTAATGGAATGCCCTGACTGTAAATACCTGGCAGGCCAAAACAAAAGGATTTTGGGACTGCATGCAGCTTCTGGGTCATGCTTTGTGCAATCATGTTGTAAGAATGAAGTATCTTCGCAAAGTGTACCATTTTGCCAAAGCTGGTGGAAGTAGCTTCATGGATTCAGAAGTTGTGGAAGGGTAAAAGGATCGATACATAGACTCTGGAATGGCATAACTATTGTTTCCTTTGGAGACATAATCAGATAGGTTGGCAATATTTTTTGTTAAGTCATATTCATGACTGTGATAAGTTACTTGATTTAGTGGGACAAATACTTTCCGCTTTTCATCAAACCCTGGACACAAGTAGGAATGAAAGTATGACTTTATCTGACTTTCTTCGATCGGGACATGAGAGCTAAGAGATCTTCTGACTTAATCTAGTGGGTCGTGGAGTATATTTACCCTATCTGCTCCCCATGCTGACAAGTTTCATGCACATGGAGTTTTGAGGAGTGTTGCTTATGCCGGTTCTTTGCTTGTCGGGAACTTACTCTTCTGTGAGAAGTGATTCCTCAGAGAAATCACTTGCATCTCATGTTGCATTTTTTACATCCACTTTGTGTTCCTGCAAAACTCAGGAGACTTTTAGTATTTAAAAGACGTACTGCTTGATGAAGTTAAGATGAAGAATGAAAGCAACACACTTCTGGCCTATAGATATAATTTTTTCTTAAATTATAGGTATGTTTTTGCCCTTGCAGGACACATGTCTTTTTTTCAAAGTCATCCATCAATTAGAAGGATATATTCTGAGTAGGTAAAATCTTCTAGGTCAGATCACAGGTGAACATCAGGAACATTGCAGGTGCTTTACAAATTAGTCTGAATTCAGTGGAGCTCCTGATATTTTATTGTAACTGCTAACCATCCAAGTAACACATGTACATTGAGGACACTGGTAAAAGCCATTGAAAAGTATGTTGGGGGTATTTACTCCAGAAATCATTATAGTGAATTTCATACTTCCTATTTGGGTGATGAAT